ATAGCCTTGACAGGTTACCATTCTTTTGTTCACAGAAAATAGCTAAAACTAAATGATTCCATTGGTACAAACATTTACTCAAGTCGGTAAATGACAGCACTTTGATGTTAAGTCAACTGACATTTCTTTTTGGGGAATGAAAAGAGAGCTTGTTTTCTAGGTGATAAAAAGTAAGCAAACCTGAATCTAGACTATTTTTCTCTCTACTTAAGAAAAATTCTTGGCCTGATCAAGTAAAGGTTCCAAAATAAAATTTGATGTTTTGTCAGGTTCCAGGAAACAGGTTAGAACTTTTCAGCACTACCTTGTACAGGTTTGATTTTTTTCTCCACATTGTGGTAAATTACAATTAAATATACACCAACATATTTTATAAGTAAAGACAGATACAAAAATATGTTCCTCTTTTTCTTACAGGCATGCTTATGAGAATTAAAAAGTTTAATTTTGCTCATTCACACAAATATTCAGATTCAACAGTTTTTTTTTGTTGTTTTTTTTTTTTTTTTGCTTAACAGTAAGGTTCATCTTGTACAAGGCCTGGAGGCCACTTGAATAGAGGGCTATGTTAAGGGGTAGTTTGTATGGAAAGGAGAGGAAGATAATGGTTAACTCTAGACTTGAACATGTTAAGATTATAGTGATTGGGGAAACATCTTCTTTGGAGTACGTTCCATGGGGCAGTAGTTCATGGGAAGAAGCTGTTTGGTTGGAACTTCTTGCTGATGGAATACAAAGAGAATGTGGTTAGTTTGCTATTATGTAAGTGGCATGGCAGGTCCTAACCATAAATGTTAGACCTAGCAGAACCAAGGAATGTATTTCGTCTGAACACTTTCCATGGTAGTAGCATTGAGAGACTTGCCACATCTTGCCTGTGAGAAATAGGATGGAGGTTGGAAATTAATTCCTCTCCAAAAAGGATTCAAAGACCATTTTGGTTAATAGTACTCAAAATACTTATTCTGCCACACATTTAACTACACTAACAGGTTTCAACCCACAAGTAGTCAAAGCCTTTCATAGTTGTTTGTTATTAAAAGCCTAATGAGCTGGCATCATCATTTTTGATATTTTGATATTTGAAGTTCATATATAAACACACATGAATTGATTATAGAAGTAGTATAAAATAAAACAAAGGTTCAGTGCTAAATGAAACATGTCTATATACATCGTTAAATAATTACTTCAGTCATCATGGAAATAGAATAGCAATATAAGTGTCAGGCAGAAAAATCAAAATTAAATATGAAATTGAAAGAATTAAATAAAGGAAATGAAAATTAGTAAGAAAGAATCAAATGAATGAAATTTGAAAGAGTTGCCATGTCAATTGGAAAGAAGATAAAAATATCATGGGAGATGGTAGGAAACAAGTTTAAAAATTGAGTTGAGATTAAAGTACTAGAGAATAATAATGAGTAGAGTCAGGATTATAGAAGGAAGAAAAAAAATTGATGAAAGAAGTATTTAGCTAAGAATAATGTGGGATAAGAGAAAATTACTGATTAGCACAGCATCCAAATGACAAGAAATAGATTATGCATTAATCAATATTTATATTTTTCTTTTTGCCAAATATTTTTGAATGATGAGAGATGTCTGGAATAATCAAACATTCACAGCCAAGAAAGATTTTCTATCATGCAACCATTATGGTAAATATAATATTTATATTAAAACATTTTTATACAACTTCATTCTTTGTATGTTTATTGAATAATATTCAACTAAAAGGAACAATAACTGAAATTATTGACTAAATAATTCCCAGTGTTAAATCTTTAGTTTTTCAATGTGTTCATATTTGGTTTATTGTAACTTATAAATTGCAAAAAAAAAAAGAAAAAAAAAAGATAAAAAAGAAGTGTAAGATTAGGCAATATATTCTTTCCATAATCTCAACCCAAGCAACATTAGTGTGGGCTGCTATAGCCAATATTAATTATGACATAAGCCAAGAAATCTTAGAGTAAAACCAGTAATTCTTCATCTGCAAAAGGTCAGATACTATATTTGATTTTGTTAAAACACATAAGAGAAAAAAGACAGCAAAAGAGGACATTTCATAAAGATAAGAGATCTTCAGAGAGGTTTAAGCTTTTTATTTTTATTTTTTTTTCATCTTGGAATGGTTTTGGTAAAATATCATGTCAATGTTCATTTGTAAAAATGCACATTGATCAGACAGTACTTTTCTTGAATCACGTGGCACTAAATTTAATTTTTTTACTTTCTGCTTATTGTTTTTTACTTAATAGCCGTTTTGTGTCTAAAGCATTTTTTTAAAGTCAGTGAAACTTTTCTCTTGATTATTAAGATATTTAGCATCAATATCATTACAGTTTCTTTTCTTCACAGAGCCTTGCGTTTCTGTCTTTCCAAACAAAAAAAAAAGTCATCATACCAGGTTTGATTTAATTTTCCAAACAGCCAAATGTAGAGATCTTACATTTTTGAAGTGAGTTACAGAGTAGGTGAAAAATACTTGACTTGTCAACCAGGAGAGAGAAATATATAATGAAATAGAAGAGTAGAAAAATGAAAGAAGGATAAGTGTAATACAAGGGAAAAACAGAAATGATTCACTAATGGGCAATGTGACTTCATCTTGAACGTTTTAATAAAAATACTAACTTTTACAATGATATAATAATAATGTTCCACAACAGCTCATGAGCTATTTTCATAATATCAGTTGCTCAAACAGTAATTAAAATTGAAGCAATAAATGTAGAATTAATTTGAGAAACAAGTTAATAACAATTCTGACATGCAATCATAATATTAACAATACTATGTTTAGTCTTCATGATGTGGCCAGTCATAGCTCTCCACAACTTTCTATCTTTTTTATGGTTCTTTTTACTATACCCTGTCCTCCTTGTTCTGCTATTCTTTTCATTAGGTAGATTACTATTTCCTTCTGTTTTGCCTTCAGTAAGTCTTATGCCAAATTCTCAAAGCTCTCTTTCCTCATGGGTTTTAGAAATTTCTCCTGTCTCTTTATGACCAAGTTCGTGTTCTTTTTGTTTCCATTTTCCATAAAACTTTCTTTTGAATTCCATTCATGTTATCCTCAGCATCCTTATGTAAAACCATATCTTCATTACCTCAAATCATTTGTGAGGAAACTGTCCTACATTCACTTCCATATAGGAAGAGTGATATTACAAATCAGTACAGCATTTTTTTCTAATGAAATTTTGTCTCTTGATACTATTAGCTTTTGGAAAGTATCTTTCATTATTATTCCAGTGTGTCTTCAGCTTATATAAATAGATGGCATAATGGGGACTGGGAGAGATAGCAAGCAGATGAAAATTACTTTGAGCTACAATGAATAGGTAATTGTGGAGAGCCATAATCATCTGAAGGGACATAGCACATGAAAGAAGTGTGGTTTGATCTATAATTGTATCAAATAACTTTTTAAAAAATTTTTGATAATGATAAGTCTTTTTATGATAGTGGCAATATAAATAATAGAAGCAGTAAAATATTTAGTCACTAAATATTATATCTGAATAAATATATTTAGTTACTAAACAAATACCTAGGGAGTTTATACAAAGAACTAAAAGAGTTTGGATTCTCATTAACATAGTATTTATATTTTTTCATAGCTGAGAGGGTAAGCATTTTAGGAACATGCTTTTCTTTTCAATATACAGTGCACAGTAAATTATTATGCACATTTTATTTGTACTCATAATAGGCATATGTAGATATATCAAAATCTAGTTTATGACTAAAATTGAAGGGAGTACTAATATTATAAAATTATAGCAAAAGAAGTAACTTTAAATTCTTGAAGTTCCTTTGAAAATAGGCATTTCTCTCCAGATTAATGTATAACACAAAATGTCTTGGAACAACAAATTGACAAATTGGCTGTATTGTGTTCATGTAGTCATAAAATATTTGGATGCACTGACAAGTACTAGTTAAAGCTGCTCAGTAGTTTGAGTTATCTGTAAAAAAATGATATGTTCAGGAGATTCTGCATCTGGTTTTCATGAATGAACCAGACACTTGACACAGAAATGATTTTAGTGGGTGTCTAAATCATGAGGATGGGTTAAGTTAGACATGAACTGATTTATAAGCAAAATAATTGATTCATGATATTGAGTTCATATATGAGCAAAAGTGATCTCCTTTTAGTCTGAGAAACAAAGCATACTTAAGTAAAAGGCATTTACCTAAAATAATATCAAGTAATCCTATACACAGAAGAAAGAGAATAATGCTTACAGGAAAGACATGTATAAGGAAGCATTAAAGTTGCAGGTGTAATATTTTAGCAAGTTCCATTTTTTTAAACCTGTTCTTTCTTGTATGTTGTTTTATGTTTTTGACCTCATTGCAAATAAACCAAAGAGGATGTTTGGCTTTAAAATCTATCTAAGATACATTAGAACTAATAGAAATTATAAAGATAACTTGATACAATTTGAAAGAGGTACATCTGCATCTCATTTCCAGTTGGGAAATGAGAATGGATGCCTTATATATTTGTGCATTATTAAGTGTAAACTTTTAACTAGATCTCTTGATTAAACATTGTAAACTTTGACGTTAAAAGCTGATTAGAATATATATATATATATATATATATATATATATATATCAATAAAATGTGTGCATGCATATTAATATATTAATATTTTTAATTAAAATAATTTATTATTAACTTTTGGTTCAATCAAAAAGAAATTTACATCTGCTGATTGCTTAGATTTTTGGGAAGTGACTGGGCCAAGAACATTTCTGCACACCTTACATGGTACTTACATGGATAAATAGCTACAGATATTATCAACAGAAATATTCATAAAGCACTAATTTATTTAAGTACTTGAAATTTTTTTGTGACTTTATCCTATCTTGATTTCATCTCATTTTAAGCATCATAAAATAATAGAAAGGTGTAGAGGAATTATGCAAGCTCCTAATAATTTTAAAAAATTGAAGCCATATTTGAGAATGTTTAGCTATTCCCAATAAGAGAAGATAGGAAGAGAGCAAATAATGAAAGAAAAAGAGAGACAAAGGGACAAAAGTAAACTTTTAGGAACAAATTGTAAAGCAGATAAGGTAAATAAAAAAGTCTGTCTCAGCAAATAAGAAACACAAAAATGGAAGAAGCAGGTGTGTATTTGTATGTTTTTGATATCTGAAGACTGCAAATTTTGCACATTTATTTATACACACACACATATATATATATATATATATATATATATATATATATATATATATAACAGAGCAATGTTTAGTAAGTTTATTTCTTAAACCACTTAATTTGAAAAGTGAATTTAATCTTCACTTGGTGTTCCATTACTATGGTCATATGCCAGATTAAGGCAAATTTAGAAAATATCTATACATCTAAACACATACACCCATAGTTCCATAAATCTATGTATGCATGTGTTTAATGAATACTTCAGATTTCTCTCTGAGTTGGGATTTAAGTTATGCTAAGCTTTGAGTTCATTAATAAACTTAAAATGAGATATTTTTATCTTAAGATAATGAATACTTATACTGAATAATAGAATCACAAAGTATTTCATGGAACAAATCATTTAAAGAGAAAAAATGTCAACATGGTTCCTCATGCCTAATTTCAATTTCAGATATTTTTTTTATATTTATAGATTTGACGTTTTGAGGAAGCAAAAAAATATTTCTTAGCACCAATGAATGAGAAAGATCTTGTAGCTCAACACGAAGTGTGTTGACACAATAGAAAGCAAAATGTCATAATAAACAAAATTGACAATAACAGAAAACTTTCAACAGCTAGGAAAGTTGATTTTGTATTGCAAGAAGTGACAACAACAACAACAAAATGCATTTAGAACCGCAAAATCATCTGGTGTGCTTACAGGTGGTGTATTTGATAACTAACAGTGAAGTTATTGCAGAAGTTATTTTTACCTGATAGCATTAACTAACCTTGTAAGAGAACAAAGAAATAGAGATTATGAATGAAAAAGTGGCTTTCTAGAAGAAAAAGACCTTTCTTTAATAGCTTATGATTGTGTTGAAAGAACAGTTTAAGAAAATGAGAAAAAAATAAGCATGATGTGCAGGGTGGAAGTAATTTCAAAACATGTAAGTAAACATCATTTGACTTAAGTACAAGAAAGTAGGGATATTTTATGAACATTTCAATGTTTTTCATCACATGACCAAAATATTGATATTTTGGGAATTACTTTCTTACTTTTCGATTTTTACAGCATCAGATGTACAAGGAATTTGAAGCAGATTTGATTGTAAAAGGATGTTTCATGAGTTTTATTGGTAGAGAAACAAGAGGGACAGGAGAGGAAACAAGAAAGGGACAGGAGAGAGAGAGAGAGAAAGAGAGAGAGAGAGAAAGAGAGAGAGAGAGAGAAAGGGACAGGAGAGAGAGAGAGAAAGGGACAGGAGAGAAAGAGAAAGGGACAGGAGAGTGACAGAGAAAGGGACAGGAGAGAGAGAGAGAGTAGGGGAAAGAAGCAGGAGACAGAGAATGAGATGAACGAATTAATTTAGTACTGGGGATAAGATATTGTGCATCAATAGTGTAAAGCATTCAACTATCTATAGCATTTAGTTCCTCTTAGTAGGGAATCTTTTTCCTGCCAGATATAGATGTGATTGATTGAAGTACTAAGTCATAGAAAGGAGGGTGTAAATGAGCTGAATCTTGTGTTCTTTTAGTCACTTACAATGTTTGGTCAGTCTGTCTCCTATCCTTCATCCCTTTCTCTCTACCATGGATTACAACTTCTTTTTCCTCATCTTCTCTATTTACACATTACAATACACATCAGTACGTCCAACATGTCAAGATAAGTGCAGTGATTGCCACTTGAAATTGTATGGAGAAGTATGGATTGTTGAGCAGGCTGACAGAAAGTGCCTGGGTCTGAGCTCGGACTGTTAAATAGCTAGGTCAGCTTGGCTGTAAACACAATCATCTAAATGCATGTCAACTAGGTGTATAAGTATTAGCAAGAGAATACAGTGCACACCACTTCAAATGTTCTGACTGTTTTTAAAGAAGAGGATCTTAAGAAAGACTTGTTTCCTTTGATAGAAAACAGTTGATTGGCTGTTAACACTTGCATTGTAATGATAGAGTTTAAGAAAAGATAAAGTGATGTGGGCTAAAAGATCTGTTGGAGATGTTTATATGCTTACAAAAATTGCAAATTGAATGTCTACATTATCAGAAGTAGTTTAAATTTGAAAGATCTCATCTTTTGTGATATTTTTGTTCAAAATATAATTAATTCTCTCTGTACTATATACGATCAACATCACATATGTGAACTATAAACATTTACTACTGAAGATATTTTGAAACTTATATAATCATGATTTTGATTTTTTATGTATTTTATATTATTTTATTGGTGAGAGATATCAAAGTGTTATTTTTATTGTTTATAAAATGCATGCACTATATTTCTGTTTAAATGCAATATGTTCCAAAAGGATATTATTACATTAAAATGTCAATGCCATTTTTAAAGCTATAATGTAAACATTTAGAAGTATTGGTACACAATTTAAATCAATAAAACTCTTAATTACTTAAAATTTAAATAATATTGTTTAAATTATACTAATATAACAAATGTTTCAGTCTTGATTTCAATCCTGGTTTTGTTTACTTGCAATATATATTAAGGTTGAGAGCATAGGTAAATCTAAGTTTACATCTTAAATGCATTTTAAACACAAACTTTAATCCATAAAAAATGGTGACACTTTTATTAATAAATTGACAGATGTATTGTAATGGCTACATAAATATTATGTTTGTTATCTTTTGGGGATTGTTTCTTAAAAATTAACCTGTTCTTTCTGGCTTGGTCTAAAACAGAAACTCAAATACAAAATGTAATTTTTGTGGAGGAAAACATTTTTGGCAGCAACAAATTTAAACTAACAGTCAAGATAATATAATAATAAAAATATCAACAAATATGAACAATTGGTTTTTTCAATGATAAATAGTTAAATATCAAATAATTTGATTTTATTAATATTTTAATATTTATTCAAATAATCTCCAGAAATACCTAAAATCCTCAGGAAATTTCTTGTTAATAGAATTTAAAATCATGTTTATACAATTCTATTTTGGTAGCTTTTTTCCCCAGTTTTTAATTGACATTCATAGCCATAGGATGCAATTTTGTTTTTTTATGATTATCTCTAAGTTTTTATTTGCATTTCTTTATTTCATCTTGTCATGTTTCTAATAATTTTTAGTATGCAAGAGATTGACCAATTCCAATGGTGTGATAAAAATTTAAATATTAATAAACTCAGTTTCCTATGTGAATAAAATATTTTGAAGCTTATATGCTTATGCTCATTAGATTTTTTAAAATTATCTACTGGACAAATTGTACATATATCTAATTACTATATACAGTTTGCTTTTTTTGACAATTTTATTCATAAATATTGATCCAATGCCATTACAAGTTTTTTTTTCAAAGAAACATATTGTCTCTGCTTGGATTTCTGTAAAGAGGAGTTATTTTTTTCACCTCTATTAATTTTCATCTTCAACGTTTCATCTGTGGTGCCCTCATCAGGTGTATGTTGATACAGGTAACCTACGGGGAATATTAATTTCAGTTACATTCTCACTTACTGTAGAAGGTTAGTGATTTGTTGAAGAATTAATTTTTCTTTCATTTTCTGATCTATGTGACATTCAGTTTTTATATAAATATATGTAAAAATCCATGTATGTCTTGAATTCATTTATTCTGAAATTGATTGAAATTTTCTACTCAATTTCTGCTAGGAGACTCATAATTAATCTAAACAGGCCTCCATGTTGATATTAACTTTGAATCCCCATTAATACTGCTGGATCATTCCATCAGAAAAGCAATTATAATCAAGACATTTGAATTTTAAAAACTATTTTTTATCATAGACACTTTTGGAAAAAAATGTAAACAACATTACCTCTTTGTTTTTGATATTTAAAGGGATTTTATATAAAGTTGATATCAGTCATCTTGGATGGAAGTCTCTCTGCACAATGCCTTTTATAAAATCATTTTATATGTATATATATAAATATGTATGTAAAGAATAATATATTAACATCAAAGTTAGAAAACATAATACTGAAGATTTGTGAGAAAAATCAGATGAAAGGAACAAAATTTTAAAAGAATTTTAAGAATTCATAGAAGGAAGATTTGTTTCCTTTTCACTCTAAACTCTATTAATACTGGCATACTTTTGATGCTTACCAGAATGAAAAAGTATTTATTTTTGTCCACTTGTATAGTAGCCAACTTCACAATGGATAATTATTGGATTTGGGAACTTGTCTTTCCTGCAAACAAAAGGTCTCCACTGTTTAGACAATTCCACTAAATACTTAATCCCTTTTATGGAAAAGTTTTCTTTTTGGCTTGAAAAAACTGCAACTTACAAGGCAAGTGGTATCAACACAGTTTACATTGCAGATCTTAACATTTGCCTAGACTTAGGCTGAAAAGCTGAAATCAAGGTCCTTAAGGTTCTTCGTGCAATGAAAAATCCCTGAAAAATGTATTTGATAATATTCTTCCAAACTGGGAATATGTAAATAGAAACTTACAATACTGTTACTGTTTTTTCCTAATGTCATTTTATAGAGGTAAAAAGTAAATCTAGAATTAAGATCTATTCAGACATCAAATATGGTTGTAAAAGTAGTTTATTATGTTATTCACTGAAATGTAAAAAAAAGTATTAACTATAATGTGATTATTTTAGGAGTGTGCATGTTCACATAGGATAAAGAAGCATACAAAATCTTGGGTTTTATACCATGGACCACTTATTCTCTTTTTTATTTAAACTGTAGTGAAATAAATTTCTCAATGTCTCTTAGATAGGTCAGTTTTCATTTTTTTGGTTCAGAAGTTAGTGTAAGTATAAGCATCATTATAATGTTTGAGCTCAGGTTTATACTTCATCATTGGAAGGCCAGCATAGTTATTATGGTTGAGCTCAAGTCAACCTTGTACTGACTTGGAACAACCAAAGAATATGTTAATTTACTTCATAGTTGGAGGTTTTGGAAGACACATGCATATGCCATGTGTTTGAAAGTGGAAAGAGTTCAGTGGATTGGGGAAATGAAGATGCCCCAGCAGGACTGTCCTTTTTCTACATGCTAATACATCTTGTAGCAAGGAGGAGAAAAAGAGTAAGGAAGGAAATGTTTTTTTTTTTTTTATAGCCTTAACAGTTTTAACAGCACCACCTAATGGGCATTTGATGATGCCAAGTGGGGTAATAAAATTTCTAGCTCCTTTTATTACTAGCATCATGGAAAAATATATTTCTTTGTTTTTATTATTATTATTTTATTAAATTTTATTTCATTTTTATTTTATTTTCCAACAACTTAAAATATTTGTTATTTTTAGCATTTAACATTTAGGCATTTAAATGTTGAGACCAAACAGCCATTAGCTTTTTATTCATGTAAGTGATTATATTTCTGTTTGTGTATTTTCATTCATTTCTTTTCTTCATTAGAAAAATATAAGAAGCTGTAAAATTGTTTGTTCCATGCTTTTCTTATATATTTGTGTGTGTCACTTCAAAGCAGAAATGATGCAGGCAAATGTGCTAATAAAAAGATCTCAGTTTAACCAAGAAATTCTTCCAAAAAATTTGAATTTAAGTCATTTGGTCAGATTTTGGAAAGTGTTTTGGGTCAATAACTTTTCAGCAACCTCTCATAAAAGGTGTTTTTCACAGTGAAGTAATTAGCAACTTGATGTGATAAATCACTTCTTGTAAACAGTTGAGCACTGAAAAATCACTGAATTTAATTTTCTTGTGGCCTTATGCCAGACTTTAGTAAGCTTAGTGAGTATTTCTATAGCAGTTGATCACAGGTTAAATAACTTCAGTCCTTAGAACTGGCTACTTCCTACCTTCTACTATATTTACTAAATAAAAGTTTAACTCATCATAGTGTTACATAATCTTACTTTCAAGTTATAGGTAAAATTTAGATTAAGAAATTTCTAATAAAGATATTTTTAACTTCTGCAGATAGTTAAACAGATTTAAAAAATTAAAAAAGCTCATGCTTTAAAAAGGCATAAGGGAAAATAATGAAAAATACTCATACAGAAAGAGAGGATAAATATTGTGTTACCACAGATGTGTAATAATGCTATTTCTCTAATTAAACAATTTTATGCTCTCTTTAATGCATAACTTTCTCACTATTAAGATATCATGGAAACTTCTGTTATCTCTGGTAAGTATGTGACAAAAAAATTAAAATAACTTTCAAAAATAATTCTTCAGAAATCATACACACCTTTTCTTTTTTTTTAAGCAAGAAGATAAAAAAAAACAATGAAACTAAAAAGAATTTTTTTTTGCACCTGTAATTGAGAAACTTACAGTTATCAGCAAAATAGATAATAAACTATCAGAAGACAAGAATCAAAGATAATAGATACTGGAATGATATTTAACAAAGAAACCCTCTAGTCAGTTGAATATTTATTAGTAAATACATGCTGAGCATTTTATAAATGATATTTCAGATGAGGCATGATTCCTCATGTGATATTTTATGCATAATACTTTAAATAATTTTGGAAGAATATTCAATTTCAGTTCAGCTAAATCTTCATGAAAAATAATATAAGCAATTTTAAGCTCGGTAAATTAGATATGTGGATAGTTTAATGGATAGAAAGTGAAATCAGAAAGCCAGGTTCAAATTCCAGCTTAACCTCTAACTCAGTTTTGCACAAATGTTCTTTTGAAAGGCATGAATCTGTATATTACCCTCCAAACTATGGGTTAAATAGAAAGGTAGACACGGCTCTCTAGCTTTAGATGGCAACCAGTCTAAGAAAAGGAAATCGATGGAGAAACCAATGGGTAGCCATTTTTCTGTCTTTCCTAAGAATGCTTGGCAGTTCTTAGATAAAGAAAAAGGAATCTGTGGAGAGCTATGACCACCTTTTGAATAAGTTTTGTAAATATTCATCCATTCTTCTGATGCTTTACTTGAAACTGTAAACTGGTAAACCCCACTCCATTTCACCTAACTCCAAGTAGATTTTGCGACCTGTCAGCTTATAAACATCTCTTTACAATTCAAAGTCTTTCGTTAGTATAAGTAGCAAGATTGTATCCATCACCAGCTTGCTAAGCCTGTCATATAGCTTACAGCACTTAGTATTACCCAGAAGTCACCCAAGAGAGTACATTCCAAGCTCAACATTGTTTAAATTCAGTGATCCAATGAGAACTGGTGTTTCAACATGATATGGCCATAAGCAAATATATAACAGTATCTGCATTCACTTGTATATCAGTTGATGGCTGCATGAATGTGGAGAAACACTAAGAGGAACAGTCTATTTTGATGAAATTTCAGTAATCTCTTAAGAAGGGATATAAGATAAATGATTGGCAAGTACAATTTGGATGAAGCATGATAAAAAGTGTATTGATCTTAATAAGAGAAAGTTTTCAGGTAAAATTCCTTGAAGGCTATTGAATGTGATGTACTACTGAAAAAAGCATAGACATATATCAAGAAAAATGAATTTCATACGAATAACAGATGAAAATACTAAAGTGGAAAAAAACCTTGAATAACAATAACACCTAATCTCGGAATGACTGGAAAGAAAAACAGACAGGAGAAGGGAATTTGTTCTATAAATCTTGGTGCAAGACAGAAAAGATTGTCTTGAATAATTTTATTTCACAAATGAGCCCTGAAAAAGATTTTTTCTATTCAAGAAGGGATTAAAGAATGTTGATATTTGATTATTTGGAAGCAAGTTGAGAAATTTTCAGTACACTTTCATAAAAATTAGAATCTAATATGAAAGAAAATGGTCTTGATTCTACTTTTTCATAGTTTTATCTAAAGATATATTTCACATGTGTATTTGTCTCTATAAAACAGTTTACAACATACATTTACTTCGAATACATCCTCAAATTATCTGGCTATGAATGAAAATATCAAATGCTTTAGAATAGAGAGCCAATTCTTTTGGGCTAGATAAATAACAAAAGTTACTTATTACTTGCTTTGATTTGAAATTTTAAAAACAAATTTTAAAATGCAGAGAAATCAAAAAGAGAATAATTAACAATTTTAATTATTATAAGACATTTTTGTTTTGAACTTCAGTTTTAGGAGTTTTAATAAATTTTAAAGGGAAATTTTTATTCTCAAGAATATCTTATTTTGATATAAACAGGAATTTAAATGTCAGAAATACTAACCTTTTTCTTCTTACTTTTAGCTTTTCTGATTTTTCTTTCATTGAAGTCTTCACAGATACAAATGGAAGAAAGATAGGTTCTAAATATGTTACATCACTGCCACTATTCTGATACTGAGTATAAACAGATTTGACATATTGTCATATGCATCACTTAGCAATATTTTCTATGAACTGACAAAGTATGTATCCTTTGTTCCTTTCTTTGTAACAAAGTAAGACAATAAATTTTACTCAAATTCTGAACATTAATATAATTAAAAATAAAAATGTTACAGGTTTATCACCCCCTTAAAAACTGAATTGATAAATATTTTTTAATAAATCATGAGGCAGTCTCAGTAAAGTTAAGGAAACTTTAAGAGTATTGATATTAAAGGATAATTAAGAGATATTTAAAAAATATTGAATGAGAACAAATTGATTTTTTTGTTTTGCAGTACCTGAATTTTTAAAAGAAATGATAACTAATGTTATCACTATAGAACAGTCATGATTATAATGACATTAATACCAGCATTGAGGAAGAGAATTGCTTTGAAATGTAGATATTAGGCTTAGGAAATATCAGTTCACCAAGAAATGGTCAACAACAACTAGTTTGCTGGATATAAGCCCAGTTGTCTGCAGGGTGGGTAGCTTTGGAGATTGTTCCTTGATTATCAGAAAAGTAATGGACAAATGAGTTCCTGCAGAGACTAATTACAACTGTCCTCAAAAATATTAGAAACAAATTAGATTGAAAAGAGTGAAACTTTAAGGGTTTGCAGATAATGATCATTGGTGGAGGAAATTTTTATTTTTAACATTTTTTTTTAATCACAGAGTTGTTCCATTTAAAGATATTGATATCTTTTCTTTTTATTTCAGTTTCATAAATTTCTTTTACTTTTCCAACCTTGCACTTTGTTGAAAATATTTAGCTTCAGGATAATTAGGCATATATTCAGGAAATACTTTTTTTCCAAATATTTTTGAATAACTTATTACTATCTCTACAGAGAGAACACTATCTCCTGTCTAATAAAACACAATCAAGTAAATTTCTATCAAACCAGCTTGAAATTGGTTAGTATTTGAGATTACAATATATTATCAACAAAAGTTAACTCAGTAAGATCTATCTTGTGGCAATCTTTCAGTTTCATTGGTCAGTTTATTAAGTGAATCCAAGCCTACACAATATGTTAATATGTGTATAGATTTTAGTGTTAATACAATTGCTTTTTGATGGTTGCAGTTGGTGCATTCAGGCTTCATGGAGGAGTTTTGTGTGTGGAGGCACTTGTCGATGCAGAGACACTCAGGTGATAGAAAAGGACAGATGGACAACAACTGTTTACTCAGGAAGAAAATCACATACTGCAACAAATTTCAGCCATAAAGTTTGAGCACTGTAACAGATGGCCTTGAGTCATGAAATGAACAAATGGATTGCAAGTAAGGTAAGTAATTGGGTTTGAAAGGGACTGTGAACAAGTTTTCACACCTCTGGGTGTGAAGTGCATTACTCTGATGAGGATTTTCATGTCTGCAGTACGTCTACTTCAGAACAGAGAACGTGTCAGGTCTATTTACTACTATATTATACGATGGTTTTCACTAAGTAAAAAGCAGATTATAAATGAAGTCAATAAAAATTGTCTTTTTATTATTGATTTATGTTCTACTTGTGAAATGTACTGTTTAAGATATAACTGAATTATGCTATTTATTTTGTGTTGTTTCAAGTAAAATTGTTGAACAGTGTTAAAACGTTCAAATATTATATTTCAACCCTGCTAAAATTTTGCTAGTTATGGTCTACTTGTAAGCTTTTAAATAATTAAACAAAGTCAAAAAAGTCATATCTTCTAGAAGACCTTTAATTTCTTAAAAATGAACATTTTCAGTTTGACTTTTGTCTAAATTTAAATCACTGATCAATGAAATAGTGAGAGAAATATATGATGATAGGTCCAAAAGAAATGTTTCTTTTTTTTATCTAGTTAGCCTATGACATTAGAAATGGATATTACTGACATGTCAGTTGAGGTTGAACCTTCCTGTCTGTAACCCATAATTTATTTTGCTTTGTTACATATAACAGCTGAGTGGCAGTTTAGTATGATTACATTTGACATGAAAGTACATATGAAGCAAAGCTGTGTCTATTTCTCTGTATGGGAAAATTGCACCCAATGACATTGAAAAGATATATTTTACTTGAAAAGCATGTATGACTATAGCAAATTTTGAATGAAAGAATAAAAGTTAACTTCAGTAGAATTTTTGAAAGTATGTATTTATTTAAGCACACAATAGGTGAATGAATTGTAATTCTTATTTTATTCTCTTCTTACCTGAACTATTTATTACCAGTCATGCTTTAAGCAGCCATGTGAAACAAAGTAAATGCTGTAGCATCTTTGAAAAAAATTAAAAAGGCAAAAATTCAAGGCTTCATCTACACTGATCTTTTCATGTATGTAATAATTTGGATGTGTGGGTAGCATATGGATATCATTATAGAAAGGGAAATCAGGGAACCAAGTTCAAATTCTAACCTAGTCCATGTTATACTCTGTTGCAATTAGATCTCATTCTGATTCATTCTGCATGCTGGCTAGATGTGACCACCACAAATGCAGGTGGAATAACAAAAGTTGTTTTCTGTGCATTGGGCTCTGCACACCATGTTTGGTCTGCAAAGTGAACTCCAGCAGTGGCCAATTGTGAATGTTCCTGCCAGTAAGAGAGATGCCCCTTGGGACTACCAGACCTGCTTAAAAGCAGGCTCTGAGGACGATCAGAACACAGTTGCAGCCTGGTGGCTGTCATGCAGGGTGCTGCCACTGGAGTCATTACCACCATGACCTTGACAACAGAGTTGCGGACTGGCCACCATCCAAAGCACTACTACTGCCACCATCACCACCACTCAACATGACTGCACATTTCAATGACTGTTACCACTTCCTGGCTTGACCTACCACCTCATCTATCCAGCTTCAACTCAAAACATCCCAACTTTGATTCCTCCCAGCTACAAGCCTTCATCAACATCAACCCATGCCATCACCTCAGCCTACCTCAACTCATTTCCAAGGCATTCCCTTCAGTTGACCCCAGTGACATTGGCTTCACAGAACAACTCTACCTCAACTTGTTTACAAGGCATTCCCTTCACAGTTGATGTAGTGACCTCCATTTCACAGAACTGGCCTCCCAACACCCGCTACCTACACTTTGACCTACCTCAACCCATTTAGAAGGCATTCTCTTTGCAGTCAACTCCAGTGATATTTGTTCCACAGAACAGGTCGACCTCAACTCATTTTCAAGGCATTCCCTTCACAGTCGACACCAGCGGCTTCTGTTTCACATAACAGGGCAAGCAAGACCATGCCAATCTGATGTTACCCAGTTTCAACACAACAGGTCGATCTATAACTGTGACTTCCATTAACCAAATGTGCACCAACCATATCCTGTGACTTGGCCATGCCGGCACAAGAAATATTTCAACTCCTGACACTACGTGTACACCCGATCACTATTCCTGTACTCTCTACCAACAATAAATGTTGTTTCACTCTAATCCTTGTTATTCCTTTCTCTTGCTACCATATGCTTAATATAACATCTAGCTTGTTCACTTACACACTAATGCTTTTGGAAAAAGTATGAAGTATGAATTTTTCTCTTCTCCAAACCCTACCTACAAAGTAAATAACAAGTGTACATGGGCTCTCTCTAGCCTTGGGTGGCAGCCAGTTTAGGAAAAATATACACTTAATTCCAAACTGTAGCAACAGAAATAGAAAACAACTCCGCTATTGTTCCTTAGAAGTAATGGTAATTCATAGGTAATAAAGTAAGGCAGTCATGGCTCTCTGCAGATTCTTTATGCACTAAAGGGACATGACCTTTAAAAAACAGAAAAGAAAAACAGCTTGTTTAATATCTTCTTATATCATTGATGTCTACAATTATTTCTTTGGATCATTTTCTATCACTTTCAATATCGACAAGCCTACACAGAGTAATAATCATGATTATGCTTTTAAAGTCACTAATATGAAAATATCTTTCAATAGTTTTTCATTTTAACAGTAGCCCATCATCTTCTATGTGCTCTATACCATCAGGATATGGGCGATCATGGATCTTCCCAATTTCTGGTCCTGTGTAAGTAAGGCTTGCCTTTTTCTTATCTCTCCTAAACCCTATTCTGCCATCCATCTATACAAGCTCCCTAGGTAGGCTTATGTGCTGTTTTCCTCTGCCCCCCTCTTGCCTTCAATATATCTTGTCAGTGTCAATTTTTGAATCCATCTTTCTTCATTATGTTCCCTAGAAATTTCAATTTTCTCTTTCTGATGCTTAGTATAAATATCCTTTTTGTTTCCATTTTCTCTAAAACTTTTTTGTTGCTCGTATGTTCAGTCCATGGAATCCTTAGAATCCTTTTGGTTGTAAATCCTTAATTTCCAATGCTTATTCAACATACCTTTTACTTATCAAACCATATAATAATTATCAATGTGTGTATTTATATATTTTCTGTCCTATCTGAAGTGGGAAGTTAGGTTAATAAACTTTAATAATTTATGAGTGATTACTTTCCTTAATTGTGTTAATACAAATAAAATATTTATCAGCATTTAGATAAAATTAGTTCCTAAACAAAATGAGCCATTTAATTAATCAGTTACTTTACTCCTGTTTCTTAGATTGCAGTCTTATTTATTCAAGCTTTTCATGTGAAGCACACAGATACGTTTGTCTATTAAGTGATTGTCTTGCTTCAACTTTGAAATAAGCATAGATACATGAGTATATAAATAATCCTAAAGAGAGATTAATCAGTGCACTGCTAGTGACTGTTTTCATTTTCTCAAGTGTTACTCAAAAATGTAACCTACATGTGCATATAAAGAGATCTGTAGAAATAGTAACAACAATTCAGCTACAATATCTCTTGCAGTTAAGTAAAAGATTGCAACAGCACTGAATATGAACCTCTTTCTGTTATAGATGTTTTTCCACTTTATAAAATATTGATTTGTCCCTTTTTATATAAAAGAATGAATTATACAGGTTCTCATTAAGTTAAATGTGCATAAGCAATACACACAAACATAGATTTTTTATTGCAACATAGCTTTTTAGATGTTCATGCAATGCTGCATAAATGTATCAAAACAAACAATATTCAAAAACACTTAAGACAACAGTTTATATTCAAATTATAATGTATCAATATGCTGAGGTTTGCCTAAGAAATTGATTGGTTATAAAATAATAATTTTCCTAAATTTAGCACATCTATTTTATATTTATAGTTGGTGGGATGAATGTAGAATAAGCAAAAATCATACAATTGCCAACAGTGCTGAATATTTTTTCACTTCAGCTATGAAATTTGACTATTTCCCTCAGTTGTAATTCTAATAAATTAGTAGATGTAGTTGATTTGTATAGGATTAGGCAACAATATTACTAATGTTTACTTGTCATATGATCCTTCAAAAATGTAAATATTCAAATGATTAAGAAATTTACAAGTACTAAAAAGTTTACCTTGTGTAAAGACATGTCAATTTTATAATTAATATATAGAAGTATAAAATATTTTCAGTTTTTAAGTAAATAATTTCATCCTCTTCATCATAATTTTTTATATTAAAAAAAAGGTGATGTAAAACAATTTTTTTAGGAGCTCAATTTTTTTCATATAAATAATTTTACAAATTGTTATGCTTGTGAGTTATGGGTACATAGCCAAGTGGTTAGTTAGCATTCCAGCCATGAGAACTAGATTTGAATTTCATCATGGCTAATTTGTCAAGAAGGTAACTTCTTGACAATATCAGTCTAGGGAGGAGATGATTCCAACATGCAATAACATTAGAAAGTGCTTAAAATTGGGTAGATGAAATCATATCACAGATTGACCCAAGACTTGTGAGTGAAATTGGGTAGACAGAATGGTTTGGAAGCTCCCAATGGTTGTGCTAGCATGAAGTTACAAGTTATTCAGAGTAAAGTTTTGAGCATACTGACCTTGTTCAATTACTGATCATGCCATATTATATGGTCTTTCATAGAAACACTAACTAAAGTCTAAACAGTATAATTGCAGTATATACCACAGATGTCTCTGGTGATAAGGATTAGCTAGCCATCCTAGCAGATGAGCATCCTCAGAAATGAGCAGCTCACCATTACTATGATGAAATCCTGAGAAAAATTAGTTGCATCCATTCTATACTTTTTTAAAAACTGATATTAAGTTTATTATTTTTTTGTTTTTATAATTGCCTATAAATAAGAATACTTTGATAAGTCAATAGGAAGTAGCAATGATTAAAGGAATAATAAAGTTGATGTTATAAAATAAATTCTTCAGATATAACTTCCAGACTAAAACACCAATTCTATCTGGAGACATTCTTTTGTGTAAATGGTCACCTGATTTGGCTATCTCAAAACCATTCCATTTACATGGGGAAATACCAGAGACATAACATAGTAGTGCATGCACAATAAAGGGTAAGTGAAGGTTGTACTGGAGTAAGGCAATTTCCATTTTGGTTTTCTTTCTGTTTATGGTAGATTTGTGGGATATGTTGATGTTCATTCAAAACTTATAATGGCTTACAGAAATCAGAGTGGCATAAAGAAAATATTTAGAGTATTGTCAGTAAAGAAGATGTAACATAATCAACAAAATGGATTGATAAGAAATGATAGAATAAATACAATGAATATAGACAGTAAATGAAACAGAAACAAGGTAGTAAGAGATAAAAAAGATAATAGCAAAAAAAAAAAAAGAATAAAAGTGAGAAAAGAGTGAAAAATAAATAGAAAAAAAGAAATAAAAATAGAATTAGAAGATGTCAAGGTACAAAAAATTGAAAGAGAAAAAACAGAAAATAAGAAGAGATACAGTGTAAAATAGAAAGAAATTACAAGATAAAATAAGGAGAGAGAAAGAGAGAGAGAAAGAGAGAGAGAGAGGAGGCATGAACTGAATGCAAGTAATGAAACAATATGAAAGAAACAAAAGAGAACATAATAGAAATATAATGAGATTTTATAAAAAGAAAAGGGCAAAATGGAGGGATAAAAACATGAATGAAAAACAGAAAGAAAATAGGAAGGGGACTAGAGAAATAAAAAGCAGATATATGTTGAGATTATTACAGAAAAAAGAAATAGATGAAAAAGAAATAGATAATAAAAAGGTGAAGAAAGTAGTTACCAAGCAAAACAGATTATGAACAAATGATAGAAAGGAAAGAAGTACAAAAGAAAGAGACTGAATTATGTGTAAGAAAAAGAGAAATAAAAGGTTATTTAGAATTATATGGAATAAAGAAAGATCTAGAAAGAAAATAAGCTTTACAAAAGGTACACAAAATAAAATTTCCCTTACTGAATGCCTCCATATATACCCTGATAAGAAGTGCCACAAATCTTTTATAATAAAGTTACTGGTCATTTATTGTGACCAGCAATACATCAGTTCCTCACTTTGCAGAATAGCCAAAGTTTGGAATGTCTGTGATGCTCATTTTCAGTTGCCTGAATATGGAAACATGCTGAAGCAATGCTTAAACTTGTGTTGAAGAACATGTTTAGCTGGTTCACCTTTAGGTCACATTTCTTTGACCAAATGGAGAAAAGATTGGAAACTTTTTCCTAGTCAGTTCTATTCAACAAGGTTACAATGGTATACCACTCTTGGATAGTTGGATATATATACTTTGGTATATATATGAAAAAAATTATTTACACAAAGTTGTGACTATGTGCTTGCATTCTTGTTCACTGTGTGTGAGCAAATAGGACAAAAGACAGGGACAAAAAGCTACCAACAAAAGAGAAAAAAAAAACAAAGGAAAAAGGGAAAGAAAAAGTATAAAAAGTGAGGCTACCACTTGCTGTTGCCATTTTGAAACTCTACATTAAAGATAGAATGAATATCACTGGAAAAAGCAGCAACCACATTGCTATAAGTGGAATATAAAATATAAGTTATAACCTAATCAAAAATGGGAAATCCTTCTTTTAAACACTGATTCTTTGAGTTAGATTTTCAGATTTCAAAAATCTTTCCATGGTGTCAGGAAATAACTTATATAAGTGGCTAATTCATTTAAGTCATGTTAAATTCTAACATTATTTGCAAAAAACTTCTGTTTAGAGGTTAAAATGATAACCCATGAACAGTAAGAATTTTTGCATTTGCCAATTTAGACAAATTTATATAAACAGTGAAATATTAAGAAAATATCAAGTAACTAAATTTCAAATAAAATATCAAGTAAGAAAATATCAAATTATCAAGAATCAATGTGGTGTCTGTTGATAATGATGGTAATAGTTGAATGTACTTGAACAAAAATAAAAAAATATGAACTTCGGACAGTTTATCCACAACTTTGAGCACAATACTCAATACCTTATCTGAAAATTGGAAAAATATATTTAAAAATATTAAACAGTCAGACCTTGTCAGCTCTTTTTAATCAAATAAACACACATACACACATATATATATATATATATGATATAATGATATATATATATATATATATATATTGTTCTTTTTATGCATATTTTGTTGAATATGATAGATGAAGAATATTTTGTATATTTTAAAATTTTTTTTATTCAGTTTTTCTAGCATTCTTATTTTCTTTTTTGGTGACTGAAATTGGGAAGAAATTTTACATCCTATTTATTGAACTGAGTACTTATAGCTAATTGTTTAGCTTTTTTTCATTTTTTTGGTAATGAAGGTCTTGCCTATCAGATTCAATGAAGCAGACATGCACACACATATAAGTCATTAAGTACTTTGTAACAGTTATTGGTATTTATAATATTGGTAATATTTATCACTTAAGCTTAATACAGATGATAATTATCATTATCTTTTAATCTCTTTGTCTCTTGTAAACATAAAAGAAATTTGATGGATGAAGCTAGCTCTCAGGATTTGGAGGAGGATGAAAAGAGAAGTTCACAGCTGATGATTATGATTTTGGTAAAAGAGTAAAAGAAAAAAAAAACATTAAGAATATTAACTCTTTTTATGACAATAATATTCTTTAGTAATGAGGCGTATTCTTTGCAACCAAAGATGGGAAATGGTACACAATAGATTAAAGAAAAACTTAGGTATAATTCAGTCAGTTATGTGCCATGCATGATACACACTTAGGCAATCATGTATCTTTTGATACATGACTGACAAGGCAGAGTTTTTCCCCACACAGTAGGTTGCCATTTCTTTCTGAAGTAGACCAATTGCTATCCAAGGCTATAGAACCTGGTCTATCCTGCTATTTACCCATAGCTGGGTGGGGAGAAGAAGAAGATTCATAAAAAGTCTCTTGCCTCAAGTCTCTTCTTCATCCATCAGAAAATTGTCCAGCATTCACTACCATATAAGAGAATTGATATTATACAGTAGCTCAGCACTCTTTTCTTTACTTCTAACAAAATTTTTCCTGCTTATTAATACTTTGTTAAATCATGGCTGTCATTTACTCATGTTTTTATAATTTACTATTACTTTCAAATATGATTAGATGTTTGCTTAAGATTGACCCTTATCTTGTAAAAGACTTTTCTTCTTCATATGGCTAAGGTACTAAAAGATCCAGGTTAGTTATTCAATTTCTAAACATGAAGGGGTAAAAATACAGGAAGTATTCTAACCATAGGCTTTCCACTTTGGGTCAGCAATCTATCACTGATCTTAATTGAACAAGTAGTTTTGTATACTAAACTGAATGTAAGTACAGAAAAATATCAGAACTAAATAAATGAAAAAACATCAGAACCCTTCTACTAAATAGATCATACCTATTTTTTTGTCTATTCAATGAAATAAGCTCAGAATGGAAGATAAATGAAAAACAAAAAATACAAGATGGGACAATCAATGTTTGTGAATTCAAGATGAGCAATCATTTCCATCCTCCACCTTTAAGATTATACATTAAACATAAGTCATTACATCCCTACACAGACATAAATGGACAAAGAAGCTGAGGGGAAATGTTGCAAGTGTGCTGGAAAGGATGGTTTAGAAAGTGGAGAACCAAGTTTGCTTCTGATGTTTTATTTTTTCCATACTGATTGGCTTTTGACACTCTATTTCAGTGTCATGCAATATTTCCATTGGTGCTTGATTGCCTTTTTTTTTCTTTTTTTTTTTTTAAACAGTGTGCAAAGGGAATGCAGCAGGAAAAAAAATCAATGCCAACTTCCTCAATAGGAGAAGAGCCGAGAATGTATTCGAATCTAAGCCAAAAGGTTTTCTATAAGAGTACAATGTCATGGCTTGAATTTCAGTAGCATGAGTTTATATAATTTTACACCAGCCTTGGACAAAGACTGGAAATTATTTGATAGCTACCTTGTATGGTAAAGAAAACTGATAATATAAGCTTGTAAAATTATGATTAATTACATGTTAACATTTGTAGATGTACAAGCTAAATACACATATGAACTGGTACAGTTATTATCACCAAGTCTTTTCTTGGCAAGTGTAATAGAGTTTTATTTGCAACTAATAGAACAAATATATAAAATCTACAATTGTATCTCATTGTAGCAAAAGAATTCACAGAGCACAAAAGGATATTTAACTTTTATAGAAAAAAGCAACAAAAATGTGAATAAAGGTTGCAGATTATATGAGCAAAGATAATCCAAAATAATTTATGAATTGTGAAAGTAAAACATAAGCTCTTCTTTAAAAGGGTATTAAAGTATTGCACATATTGGGAAACAAGAAGCCTTTATGATTTGTCATCTTTCTTTCAGATCAAAGTCAGCTTTTTTTTTTCCTTTACCATTTGATTGTTCATTATACATCCAGTAACTCTGGGAATATTTGTTTTTGTAAACACCCTGTATTGAGTGAGCAATCATGACCAAATGCAAAATAAATCACAGAACTGTTCAACGAACAGAATTGACAAAATTTGCAATAAGCAATAATAAGAAAAAGTAAAGAAAAGAAAAAGGCAAAAAAATAATATAAAGGAAGCAAACAATATATGCAAGGCAAAATAATAGTAATAAGGCAAAGCAACAGTAATATGGCAAAAAGTTCACAAACTAAGAATTGGCGTTAATACACAAAAGTAAGTTCGAACAAGCGAATGTAGCTTTCTAACTTCAAGACAAGACAAATCAGGACTGAGTCAGATGAAACTGCAAAACAGCCTATTTTATTGGCTAGGAAAAATTCCCAGTATGCATTTGTGTGCTTCTGCCTATAAAAGGGGAGGGAAAAGTGGTTTACAGTCATACCTACCCAGGTGTTATTTTTAGTTTGAATATTTTGTTATATTTTAATTTCATTTTGTGGGTTTATCCCCTCCTACTTCATTTCCTATCATATTTTTATCTTTTTGTAAAAGAAAAAAAAAGACATTTGGACTTTATGAAAATTTTATGTCATGGGGCTTTTTGTAGGTTCCCTGTGAATATGTGGTATTATGGTATATGACAGATTGAATGGTCATGGATGAGTTCTTGTGATGAATGTAGAAATTGTAATGGATGAATGGGTCATGAATCTGATTAGCTAGGTCTAGGATAGTTAATGTTGACCACTACTCCACTTCCCCTTCGGCCTTGTGCCAAAATTTTCCTTTTTGGATAATAAATCATCATTCCTAACCAGATTGAAACCAACATCTAGTTTGTTCATGATGCAGTCAGTCATGATTCTCTATATTTTCTTTATTATCTGTGAATTTTCAAGAGATGGATTCATGCCTTTCTCAAGGGCATTAGTATGAAGTGAATGTAACAGACTAGACCAGCATATGAACTCAGCTTGCTAATTCCCCTTTCTTCATGAATAAATATTATCCACACACTTTTTTCTGGGAACATTGCATACAAATAAATGTTTCAATGTTAAAAAGATTGAAGATCCTATTATCATGATGTTAGGTTTTGCAACCCAGCATAAGTAACTGTCATATTAGTTGTGTATAGAAAGTTGTAGAGTGAGTGGCCATGGTTAAATGTAAATAAATGGCAAAACTGCCCAACAAACAGAATTGACAAAATTCGTAATAATCACATGAGAAAGAAAAGAAAACAAGGCAAAAAATAATATGAAGCCAGCAAACAATATATACAAGGCAAATTATCAGTAATAAGGCAAATAAATAGTAGTATGGCAAAAATTCACAAAATAAGAATTGGGGTTGACACACCAAAACAAATTCAGATGAATGAATGCAGCATTCTAACTTCAAGGCACGACAGACCAGGACTGAGATGGCACCGAGAACTGGCCTATTTTATTGGCTAGGAAGAAATCCGTGCCTATAAATTGGAGAGGGGAAATATTTTGCAATCATTCCAAATAGGATTTTAGGATCCCTGTGAATATGTGGTATATGTTGGATTCAATGGTTATGGATGAGTTCTTGTGGTGAATGAGCAAATTGTAATGAATGGAATGGTCAAGAATTGGATTAGCTTGGTTTAGGATAGTTAATGTAGACCAGCCTCTCCTCATTTCCCCCTTGACCTTTTGTCACAATTGCTATATTTCATAAGAAATAATCATTGCAATTAGGATTGGAACCAACAAAAGTTATGATGACTGTATTCTGAAAGGAGACATGTGAAGTTTTAAAGAAAGCACTATTGTCAGTGTGCAGGAGACTGAATTGGCTGCAGGTAACATTTACAAGTTTTATTACATTGATTGATTTAACAAAAACTTATTTTTCTTGTTTCAAGAAAGATTTGTTGAATCAAATTGTGGCTTCATTTTACTAAAAATCATGTAAAAGAAATATTATGCATATTTGAAATTTATATAATCAATGAATTAGTCTACTTTTCTTTTATTTTCTTCTTTCCTGTTATATGATAAAGATGATAAAGTGAGAACTGTTAAA